CTTTGCTGGCCGCCACGGTTTTTTTTTTTTTTGCTTTGCTGGCCGCCACGGTTTTTTTTTTTTTTGTTCCCCTGATTGTAGTGCAAACTCTTTATCATGAAAGTTGAACTTACAAATGTAGAATTATGCACAAAAAAACTGCATTCAAAAATAAAACAATGTAAAACTTTAGCGCCTACTAGTCCACTCAGACCTACTTCTTGGTTAGCCAATCACTCAGACAAACAAGGTTGGTTACAATTTGCAGAAGATAATACTGCCTGCTTCTTGTTTACAATGTCACCTGAAAGTGAGAACAGGCATTCGCTTGGCACTGTTGTAGCTGGCATTGCAAGATATTTACATGCCAGATGTGCTACAGATTCCTATGTCCCTTCATGCGTCAACCATCATTCCAGAGGACATGCTTCCATGCTGATGATGGGTTCTACTTGATAATGATCCAAAGCAGTGCGGACCGCCGCATGTTCATTTTCATCATCTGAGTCAGATGTCACCAGCAGAAGGTTGATTTTCTTTCTTGGTGGTTTGGGTTCTGTAGTTTCCGTATCAGAGTGTTGCTCTTTAAGACCTCTAAAAGCATGCTTCACACCTCGTACCGCTCAGATTTTGGACGGCACTTCAGATTCTTAAACCTTGGGTCGCGTGGTGTAGCTATTTTTAGAAATCTCACATCAGTACCTTCTTTGCGTTTTGTCAAATCTGTTGTGTAGGTGTTCTGAAAACGAACATGTGCTGGGTCATCATCCGAGACTACTATAACATGAAATATATGCAGAATGCAGGTAAAACAGAACAGGAGACATACAATTCTCCCCCCAAGGAGTACAGTCACAAATTTAATTGATGCATTCTTTTTTTAACAAGCGTCATCAGCATGGAAGCATGTCCTCTGGAATGGTGGCCGAAGCATGAATGGGCATATGAATGTTTAGCATATACGGCACGTAAATACTTTGCAACACCGGCTACAAAAGTGCCATGCGAACACCTGTTCTCACTTTCAAATGACATTGTAAATTAGAAGCAGACAGCAGTATCTCCCGTCAATGTAAACAAACTTGTTTGTCTTAGCGATTGGCAGAATAAGAAGTAGGACTGAGTGGACTTGTAGGCTCTAAAGTTTTACACTGTTTTGTTTTTGAGTGCAGTTATGTAACCAAATAAAATCTGCATTTGTAAGTTACAATTTCACAATAAAGAAATTGCAATTCAGTACTTGTATGAGGTGAATTGAAAAATGCTATTTCTTTTGTTTATCATTTTTACAGTGCATATATTTGTAATAAAAAATAATAATATAAAGTGAACTTTCTGCATAAAGTTCAACTGGTATTCTATTGTTATTAAGTGTGATTAATCACAATTAATTTTTTTAATCACAATTACTTTTTTGAGTTAATCGTGTGAGTTGACTGCGATTGACAGTCCTAGTTATAACCTAATCAATATTTTCCCATCTAATCTCAAAAAGGAATAAATCTACTTTTGTAATTTGCATTTTCCTGTAAGTTTAAGGTGGATGTTTAACATCATATATAGTTATTATGAAGCTAAGCTTCAGACAATGAGAAAGAATGCTGAAGTTTTTAGAACTAGGGGTAGAATGTACTAAACACCTAATGAATCTCTAAAACAGTGGTCACTGCATCAAGTGTTACCAGGTCATGGTGCCCTATCACCTCCTTCCTCACCAAGACACGCATACAAATATGCAGATAGGTTTTTTTGTGGGGGAGGGGAGATACTCAGCAGGATCTACAGGAAAGAAACTGAAAATACAGACAATGAAATTTAACAATCCTTTAATATTTACTAAATGAAAACAGGTATGCAATTACACTATGAAGTCAAGAACTTACATCTTCATTTGTTGTTTGATTGGAGCTGATCAAATATGTATGAAAACCTGAGAGACCAACAATAGACCAAACGGAAAAAAAACACACGACAGCTTCCAGCACAGTGATTAAAAGTCAAGGAAGTACAAATTTGTATGAAATCTAATAATAATTAATAATAGCACTCACATAGTGATTTTGTCTTTAAAGTACTGCACTTTGAATTCTGCACAAACATTTGCTGAGTAATCCTCAAAACACCTGTATTAGGAAAGTATGTAAGTAAATGGTAGTACATAGTTTCACTTATAGATAGAGACAGAGAGCTTCATTCCATGACTTACTCAAGGCCACACGATGAGTCTGTGACAAAGATGAGATTAGAACTGTGTTTACATAGCGTCTAGCACAAGGGGTGGTGGCCCATGATTAGGGCTTCTAGGAGCTAAAATAATTCAAATAAATAAGAACAGTTTATGAGTTTCTGGCTTCCAGTCACACTTGAAATCTATTAGACCAGTGAGATTCAAACTGAGGCTTGCAAGCAGCTCTTTAATGTATCTCCTGCGGCTCTTTCCCGCACATGATATTAAAACACTGTGATTTACCAATCAGGACGCTTTTACTATGTTATTAACCAATTGTAGTTGATAAATAATATTTGGTCAGTCATTTTCTTGTGAGAATAATATATATAAACTAAATATTTTCCCATCATACTGCTTCAATATGAATATATAGTATTATAGTAAATGAAAGAATGAATTCACACTAGTGTAGCTTTTTTGGTAATGTGGATTGCTAATTTGGCTCCTGAACCACTGAGGTCTGAGTATCACTGTAGTAGACCATGCTGTCTGTCCTCTAACTGAAGCAGAGATACCGATTATACATGTCCTACAAAATCATAATGACAATGTATTAGCCCAGGTATGGTACAAATTCCACGTGTTCTCCATTACCATCATGATTACATTAACTGCTGTGTTATAAACCAACACACACACACCTGCCGTAGGCACGTGACTGAGGAATTTGCAAGGCCTGTTTACAACTTTTACCTTTGTGAATTTTTCTACTGGAAACAATGCACTGAGAAGCACCAAAAACCTTTTATTCATTACTACAGAATGAACATAAGCAAGATATTTCACCATTCAGTCAACTGTGCCTCAATATTACTTTTAAGCTTTGATCTTATTAATTTTTCCTCTTTTTCTTTCCAATCTACCTTCCCTCTCTTCCTTCTGCAGAGGCCTTTTTACCTTAACTACAACCCCCAAAAATCTAGCCTTTTCCAGGACCAACATCTATGTTACTATTAAATTGGTCAACATTAGGTGCTGTGCAGTGCAGCTTACAACATGCCTTTAACTCTGACTAAAAGACATAATCTCAATGACAAGGTATCATATTTTGCTCTTAAACTTTGTTTATCTCAGTAAGACAGCAAGCTACTACAACCAAAAGACCACGTCTATCCTTTCAATTGCTATTTATTTCAGTTTATGTACAACAGCTAGGAAATTGGAACTCGTCTTACTCTATATTAATATATTTATGTTTGATAGTCTATATATACACCAAAGAAGAGAAAAAGCGTTGTCTCCTACAAAAATATACAATAAATTAATAAGGAACATGGCAATTGGAAAAGAACATGATGACAATTAATCTATACGAATCATTTTCCAAAACAACTGTTTCTCAAAATAGTCACAAACAGGGACATTGTAGGCCACAAAATGCACTACTCATATCCTCATCAATACCTGTTTACATAAGAGAAAGAGAAATATGCATGACCCCTTAGCACAGGGGTCGGCAACCTTTCAGAAGTGGTGTGCCGAGTCTTCATTTATTCACTCTGATTTAAGGTTTCGCGTGCCAGTCATACATTTTAATGTTTTTAGAAGGTCTCTTTCTATAAGTCTATAATATAGAACTAAACTATTGTTGTATGTAAAGTAAATAAGGTTTTTAAAATGTTTAAGAAGCTTAATTTAAAATTAAATTAAAATGCAGACCCCCCAGACCGGTGGCCAGGACCCGGGCAGTGTGAGTGCCACTGAAAATCAGCTCGCGTGCCGCATTCAGCACACGTGCCATAGGTTGCCTACCCCTGCCTTAGCACTATGAAAATAAAGAAGCCAGAAAAAGCAATATCAGGAATGTCCTGGTCTCTTACCATTTAAAAATTACAACAAACATATTCAGGGCTTTATTTAACAGTCAAGGACCGTAACACTGCTGTGATCCAATAAACATGGGAACTATACATTATACAATTGCACAAAAACCTTGTAAAATATTGCTAAATTTGCAAAGTCATTATAATGCCACTGGCAACAACTTTGCTCTAACACAACTTAGTTTAAATGGCAGAAACTTTCAAAGCCAAGCAGAAATGGAAATGAGCCAACAATTCATTATTTTTGCTTAGGGTATAAAACATTTATATGCAGCTCTTTAGAACTATATCTTGCAGAAACAGGATGGATAGAAGAACCATGATGAATTTCTGAGCAGCAGGTTTGCTACTTTTCTTCCTCTCCCTCAGGAGTGATTTGAAAGGTCAAAGATGAGCAGGAAAGGAGCTTGCACTGAGGACCAAGCCATAGACACCGCAGCAGGCAGCCTGTGAACTAGGACAAGAAGGCTAAGGCACAGAGAGCCTGGCAGGAGTTTGGCAGCAGCAGGATACAGGCAGAAGAACCTGCAAACAGGAGGCAGAAGGCACCCCCTCTAAAACTGACTGCTGCGTGGTAGAGCTCTTAAGTGAAACTGCCTGTTCACAACTGAACATTGTCTAGCGGGATCTACTCAGCGATATTTAAACTGTCCTCTGAGACAGGGTTGGACTAGAAAAGACACTCCAGATATCAGGTCTGAGGAACACCAGTTACCCTCCTATCCTTATAGCTGACTGCCCCCTTGGGACAGAGTTAAGAAAAACTGTTTATCTTTTATTTCAACTAAGGACTAAGCCATTGTTCTTAAGGTATCAGAGGGGTAGCCATGTTAGTCTGTATCCACAAAAACACAACCTATCCTGGAAAACAATCCCTCACTCTCACAGACCTTGGGAGGCAGGCTAGTCCTTGCTTACAGACAGCTCCCCAACCTGAAGCAAATACTCACCAGCAACTACACACCACAGAACAGTAACCCAGGAACCAATCCCTGTAATGAACCCTGTTGCCTATTCTGTCCCCATATCTACTCTAGCGACACCATCAGAGGACCCAACCACATCAGCCACACCATCAGGGGCTCATTCATCTGCACATCTACTAATGTGATATATGCTATCATGTGCCAGCAATGCCCCTCTGCCATATACATTGGCCAAACCGGACAGTCTCTATGTAAAAGAATAAATGGACACAAATCAGACATTAGGAATGGTAACATACAAAAGCCAGGAGGAGAACACTTCAATCTCCCTGGACACTCAATAACAGATTTAAAAGTAGCCATTGTTCAACAAAAAAAATCCTTCAAAAACAGACTTCAAAGAGAAACCGCAGAGCTACAATTCATTTGCAAATTTAACACCATTAATTTGGGCTTGAATAGGGACTTGGAGTGGCTAGCTCACTACAAAAGCAATTTTTCCTCTCTTGGTATTGACACCTCCTCATCAATTATTGGGAGTGGACCACATCCATGCTAACTGAATTGGCCTTGTCAGCACTGGTTCTCCACTTGTAAGGTAACTGCCTTCTCTTCATGTGCCAATATATTTATGCCTGTATCTGTAATTTTCACTCCATGCATCTAGAAAAGTGTGTTTTTTACCCACGAAAGCTTATGCCTAAATAAATCTGTTAGTCTTTAAGGTGACACCAGACTCCTCGTTGTTTTTGTACCTAAGATACTTTCAACCTTTTCTTTCTGCCAGCCCTAGTGAATAATCCTTTCCTTTTAACCATGTATGTGAGCACTTTTCAAGAAGCCACCAGGTGCTAGAGTCTATAGGGTCAGTGACTAAATGCTCATAAGCACTCCCTTCTGAGACTATTTTATACCTGGTGATTTATCAAGTATATGGAAAGTTTTGAAGCACTGTATTCCCCCAGAGCAACCTATTGGGGTGGGACCAATTATAGAACATTCCCTTATTAACAGGGCACTGTTAGTGATGCTTAATTAAGCAAACTGCTTTACAGGATCTCCATATTGTGGGTATTCTTGTATAAGCTTTTCTAAGGTCATCACCATGCAGTTTGAGGAACTTAAATACATGGATGAATTTATGCTCACAGCACCTGAGTGAGGCAGGGAAGCATTAGGTCATTCTGACAGGCTACACTATCTGCACCTGCCAGGGCTCCTGTGGGAGGGAAAGAGACCCAATGTTCTAGGCATATTCAGTTAGCTCCTCACTTCACACTTTCTAAGTGCAGGAGTGAACTGCTGAGCCTTGTGCTTGAGGACTCACTGAGTGTGAGCTTCCATAATGAGGTTTTTTGATTCAAGGTAAGTGTTTGGGAATTTGTCCCTTTACATTTATAGTAAAAGGAATAAAGTCAATTCACTTAAATAAGAGGTGCTTAGATGAAGACGTAGGAATTGCGAGGAAAACAAAGGTACAATATAAAAGATGTATCCTCAGATTAATATGTAGGAAGCTATTTAACTCCCTGTTCATCAAGATGAGCAAATAAAATGGAAGCTTATTAGTTATTAAAAAGATAATTGATTTATACATAGTTGTTGAATATACAGCTGCTAGGCTCAGCTATTGAGTACAGTAATATTGTCTACTACAGCTAGACAACTCGGTTTGTCACATAGCATTGTTAGTGCGGTATCAGTTGAAAAGCAAGGCTCTCTCTTCACAAAACTGTCTTGCCCCAAAACAAAATTCCCAGTACTGTTGATGCAATTTTATTTTGTATTGTTAGGAATTGCAACCAACCTATTAAACTGTCCAACATGTCACATTCTAAAAGAGCTGCTTCTACAAAATGCTCTATTGAGCCTCTCAAACTGGCATGACTTTGAATGCAAATTATGAAAAGCCTATTGTTCCTGTACAAGGATCCACAAGTGTGGGATCAATTACCTTTTGATTTAAGAACAATTGAAAGTTTTTCCCATTTTGAGAGAACTGAAAGACTAATCCACTATTAGAAGTGATTTGTAATTCTTTTATGTGGAAGTTATTGTTGTGCTATTTAGGATAGATTGCTTGTTTGTGCTTCCTAAAACTGTGGCCTTGCTTAAAAAGGAGGTTATGGCTCAATGATTCTACATCATGAACACACAAAACAATGAACATGATAAAAATTAGGTCTGCAGAATTTAGCAAACTTGACGTTTTAGAAATATACAGGTGACAACACTCAGGAGAGAAATCTTGTCACTTCTTCCTTTTACATATTTCTTTAGCAAAAATGTAAGATTCTGTCAATTAATAAACTGAAGTTTTTCCACAAATCCATTTGGTGGTGGGTGTGTGGTGTGGTTGGTTTTTTGTTTTTAATAGGCGAAACTGCCATTTTTGTGTAGTTCTGGGCAAAAATCTAGTTTTGTGCACAAGAGCAAGTGTTCTAAGGCAAAACAGTAAAAAGGCTTTGCTTTTTCAGAGCCAGTGTAAAGAATGATTTTTGCACTGGCTTTGTGAGTGATGCAAATATTTTCACATATCTATATATCAGACATCCACACACATTAGCAGGCCGTTGGAAGGGATATAGTCCCACAGAAATTTAAGCAGGAAGTCAAGTAGAAGTTATGGCAGCTCCCCAGCCTTTTCTGTCTGTTAGCTCAGTGGTTTTCAAACTTTTTGTATTGATGACCCCTTCCACACAGAAAAGCCTCCGACCGTGAGCCCCCTTATAAATTAACAATGGTGGGGATAATTTAATTTAATGGGGGCTCGGGGCTGTCAGCACCACAGAACTGACAGCTCGTGACCCCCATGTAACCACCTGGCGATCCCCTGAGGGTCACGACCCCCAGTTTGAGAACCCTGTGTTAGCTGTTCTCACCTGGGAGCAGAAGTCATAGAATCATAGAAGATTAAGGTTGGAAGAGACCTCAGGAGGTCATCTAGTCCAACCCCCTGCTCAAAGCAGGGCCAACACCAACTAAATCATCCCAGCCAGGGCTTTGTCAAGCCGGGCCTTAAAAACCTCTAAGGAAGGAGATTCCACCACCTCCCTAGGTAACCCATTCCAGTGCTTCACCACCCTCCTAGTGAAATAGCGTTTCCTAATATCCAACCTAGACCTCCCCCACTGCAACTTGAGACCATTGCTCCTTGTTCTGTCATCTGCCACCACTGAGAACAGCCGAGCTCCATTCTCTTTGGAACCCCCCTTCGGGTAGTTGAAGGCTGCTATCAAATCCCCCTCACTCTGCTCTTCTGCAGACTAAACCAGCCCAGTTCCCTCAGCCTCTCCTCGTAAGTCATGTGCCCCAGTCCCCTGTTCATTTTTGTTGCCCTCCGCTGGACTCTCTCCAATTTGTCCACATCCTTTCTGTAGTGGGGGCCCCAAATCTGGACACAATACTCCAGATGTGGCCTCACCAGTGCCGAATTGAGGGGAATAATCACTCCCTCAATCTGCTGGCAATGCTCCTACTAATGCAGCCCAATATGCCGTTAGCCTTCTTGGCAACCAGGGCACACTTCTGACTCATATCCAGCTTCTCATCCACTGTATACCCAGGTCCTTTTCTGCAGAACTGCTGCTTAGCCGGTTGGTCCCCAGCCTGTAGCACTGCATGGGATTCTTTTGTCCTAAGTGCAGGACTCTGCACTTGTCCTTGTTGAACCTCATCAGATTTCTTTTGGCCCAATCCTCCAATTGGGTCTAGGTCACTCTGGACCCTATCCCTACCCTCCAGTGTATCTACCTCTCCCCCCTGCTTAGTGTCATCTGCGAACTTGCTGAGGGTGCAATCCATCCCATCATCCAGATCATCAATAAAGATGTTGAACAAAACCAGCCCCAGGACCGACCCCTGGGGTACTCTGCTTGATACCGGCTGCCAACTAGACATTGAGCCTGACAATCTAGCCAGCTATCTATCCACTTTATAGTCCATTCATCCAATCCATACTTTTTTAACTTGCTGGCAAGAATACTGTGGGAGACGGTATCAAAAGCTTTGCTAAAGTCAAGATATATCACATCCACTGCTTTCCCCATAACTACAGAGCCAATTATCTCATCATAAAAGGCAATCAGGTTGGTCAGGCATGACTTGCCCTTGGTGAATCCATGTTGACCGTCCCCGATCATCTTCCTCTCCTCCAAGTGCTTCAAAATGGTTTCCTTGAGGACCTGCTCCATGATTTTTCCAGGGACTGAGGTGAGGCTTCTCCTTCCCGGGTTCTCCTTCTTCCCTTTTTAAAAAATGGGCACTATATTTGCCTTTTTCCAATCATCTGGGACCTCCCCCCGATCACCATGAGTTTTCAGAGATAATGGCCAATGGCTCTGCAATCACATCAGCCAATTCCCTCAGCACCCTCGGATGCATTAGATCTGGACCCATGGACTTGTGCATGTCCAGCTTTTCTAAATAGTCCTTAACCTGTTCTTTCACCACTGAAGGCTGCTCACCTCCTCCCCATACTGTGTTGCCCAGGACAGCAGTGTGGGAGCTAAACTGGTCTGTGAAGACCGAGGCAAAAGAAGCACTGAGTACTTCAGTTTTTTCCACATCATTTGTCACTAGGTTGCCTCCCCCATTCATTAAGGGTCCCACATTTTCCCTGACCTTTTTCTTGTTGCTAACATATCTGTAGAAACCCTTCTTGTTACCCTTCACAACCCTTGCTAGCTGCAACTCCAGTTGTGTTTTGGCCTTCCTGATCACACCCCTGCATGCTCAAGCAATATTTTTATACTCCTCCCTAGTCATCTGTCCAAGTTTCCACTTCTTGTAAGTTCCCTTTTTGGGTTTAAGCTCACTGAAGATTTCACTGTTAAGCCAAACTGGTCGCCTGCCATATTTGCTATTGTTTCTGTACCCTGGGATGGTTTGTTCCTGTGCCCTCAATAAGGCTTCTTTAAAATACAGCCAGCTTTCCTGGACTCCTTTCCCCCTCATATTAGCCTCCCATGGGATCCTGCCCATCAGTTCCCTAAGGGAGTTAAAGTCTGCTTTTCTGAAGTCCAGGGTCTGTATTTTGCTACTCTCCTTTCTTCCTTTTGTGAGGATCCTGAACTCAACCATCTCATGGTCACTGCTGTCCAGGTTGTCACCCACTTCTACTTCCCCTACCAATTCTTCCCTGTTGGTAAGCAGCAGGTCAAAAGGAGAACAGCCCCTGGTTGATTCCTCCAGTAGTTGCATCAGAAAGTTGCCCCCAACACTCTCCAAAAACTTCCTGGATTGTCTGTGCACTGCTGTATTGTTCTCCCAGCAGATGTCAGGGTGATTGAAGTCTCCCAGGGCCTGTTTTCTGGAAACTTCAGTTAATTGTCCGAAGAAAGCCTCGTCCACCACAACATCACCCTTGTTGCTCTCGCTTTTAAACTTAACCCAAAGACTCTCACTAGGCTTTTCTCCAATTTCATACTGGAGTCCTATTCCACTCACAGGTGAGAACTTGTGAAAAAGGCAAGAAGCTGCTGGAACATATTAAAATAGCATAGTGACATTGAGGGCATGTCTACATGACCTTGCAGTTCAGACAAAAGGAGTGGGAACAGCAGTCCACATAAAAGTGCTGTGCTGCAACTCCCCCGTGGGATACTGCATGTTCAAACTTCAAGGTCCTGAGTTTGCACTAATGTAGTCCTCTTCAAAGTCCTTCAAAGAGGACTACATTAGTGCAAACTCAGGACTTTTAAATTCATGTACACAGTGTCCACACAGGGGAATTACAGCACAGAACTTCAGTGCACATTGCTATTTGCACCCCCTTAGTCCAAACTGAAGGGCTATGTAGACATGCCTTGAGCTACATGTATAAAGGTAGTGGGGGATGAGGGTGCAAGTGAGGGAATCTAACAAACAACTAGTTACTTGAATTAATGTTACCTAGGACACAGTAAAATTTGTCCTAAAGGACTGATAAAGTTATCAGCATAAATATACTTTGGAAATATTGGACTGTTTGGTGTCACTTAATATGTTGGTTTTCTATTTTATAATTGACTTTTTCTATCCCACCAAAAGTCAACAAATTCCAAATAAATATTTTCCTCTCATGAGAGTGGATGTATTACTCAGCAAATGCGTATAATTATCTCTTGAAATGTGCGTGTGACTTCAATAAATGTTAAATGGACATTATATACATTTACCTAGAATAGAACAGACCCCCCCGCCCCAAAAGATGCAAAATAATAATAAAAAGAAAAGAGAGCTCTTTTCTTCCCTACGTGCAACACTAAATGAGAAATGATGCAGAAATACTAGATCAAATGGTGAAACCTTTCTTGAGAAAGTCTCAATTCCATGCATCCAACAACCGCAAAAAACCCAAAACCCAGATACATTTAGCATATAATTTCTTCCTTAATATTAATGTAACAAACTCTACAGCGCATTTTAATGAAAGGATATCTTGCTGGACTGTCCTTGAGGGCATTTAGGAATCCTGCTTGCTGTGATCCTGTGGAAACAAAAACCAAATTTTACAAATGAGTAAGAATTTTCAGTACAGGCTACTTTCATCAGAGATCAAATCCACAGGTCAAAAACAATAGGAGCCTGAAGATCAGTTGCATGATTATATTTTGAAAGAATTACAGCTGAAGTTATTAAAAAAAAAAGTGGCAGAGTTATAATCAGATCTAACATCTGCAGGGCATTTCTCAGTAATACCAGATTGATGTCCGCACCGTTTTGCATTAATAAGATTTCTAATTATCCCTCTGTTCTTTTCCATCCTAATATGGAAAAGAAAAGATTGTTAGCTACTTTTGGACTCGGAAATCCTATAAGATATACACCCTGCTATGACCCAGATTTTCAGCTGTCCCTAGCTTACTCTGGGTGCAGCCAGGCAAGTATGTGCAAATAAGCCAAATACAGTTCTCTGTTCCTTGGGCCAGTTCTACACCACCTCCTGTCCCCTGTCTACATTAGGACATCTTGAGAGCTGCTCCAATTTATGCTGGCTGCCTATGGCCACCAGGGCAACATCCACTAACTGGGAAGAGCCAGAGAACAGCATGTTCCGGGCACACTCCTTACACCAGAGTTCCAGGAAGGGTGGTGTAGGATATAGCTATGCCAGCTCCATGCTCACTGGGGAGTCCCCACATTGGGGACATTTGTCCACTTTCCAGTCCCTATGCACTGAACTGATACCAAGGGGCTGAAGAGACTGGCCCTTAATGCTACACACATTATAAACAACTTTGCATTCTACTGTATCATTTAACCATTATTCATGTAATACATCTTAAATATTTCCCTTTGAAGAAAATTCTCCCTCCTTAGCCAAAGAGGATCTGATGGGGGGGGGGGGAATCTTGAGATGATGATGATCTTTTTTAGGAGACACCATTTCCATGGGCCAGACTAGTGGTTTACAGTGATCGCTATTAAAAAATGGAAAAAATGATTTGCCTTATATTTTTCATTCTTGATTTTTTTCCCCAGGATTCTCACACTTGGGGCTTAGTTTCACGGCACAACTTCTCCCAGGTTTCAGGCCCTTAAGTACACCAGCAACAGGAAGGTGTGTGAACAACACTCCCTGTTGGTGGTCATACACCTCTAGTCACTTCCTGATTTACCACAAAGTGAAGGCTCATCAAACCAAATAAGTCAATCACAAAAACAAAATGGCTGAAAAATTAATTCCTAAAAAAGAAGTTGAATGAATACAAAAATAAAGTCTATATTGAAAAGGTTTTCTTCTCTGAAACTGAGTGGATGTGGGTGGTTGAGTGAGAATCCTGCAAGATGATGACTTCAGAGAAGCAGAATTACTAAGTAAGTAATTTTCTCTTCTCCAAAGATACTATCTGTATAGAATTCTCACTCTTGGAAAGAAAACAGCGCAAGTGGATGTCAAAAAGAAAAAGAGCATCATTAAATAATTATAGCAGGCAGAAAGAACAAAGCCAAAGCTGATAATGTATGTTTTCTTTTTAAAAGTATACTTAAGGGTAAGACAGCTTCCCTCCAAAAAAGGTGCAACAATGACAGCCTGTAGGATGAATAAAAAATACAAAACAAGCTTCACAAATTTGGCCAACTCAAGGAACATGCCCCCAAAGTTACAAAACTCTAGATGCTAGAAATTTGGACTTCAAGGGAGGTTGGGCAGGATTGAGAGACTGAGGCAAGATTGCTTCTGTGCTTTGTAAATGTATGGAATAAGGACCATTTGACTACTTTGCATATGCCCATAATGAAATCTTTCATGAGTTAGGCAGGGAAGCCTGGGGAAAATATTGTCAAGATGAGTTAGCTCATTAAGGTGGAACTCCATAACTACCTTGCAAAGGCATCTCCGATGAGTCCACAGCTCTTTATTCTTTTAAGATTGGTAAAGATTGATCAGTCACAAGAGCCTGAAGTTAGCTCACTCTGAGATAGTCACTAACACTAGGAAAATAACCTTCCACATCAGAAACCTGAACTCACAGGTACTGAGTGGCTCAAAAAGAGCTTCCTAGGAGCACATTAATATTCCATGACACCAGCAGCTTTTTAAATAAAGGTTTCAAAAGAATCAGTCCACCAAGAACCATGCAACAAATGGCTGAAGAGACACCTTTGACCAGCTCATGATGGGTTGCTGATAAATGAACCCTAGGGTGACCAGATGAGATGAAGAAAATATCGGGACATCGGGGGTGGAGGAGGGGGAGGCAAAAAAAAAAAAAAGACCGAGTGCTGCCGGCTGAGCAAAAAAAAAGGGGGCAAAATATTGGGACAAATTGCGTCCCGACCACTGATCGGTCAGGACGCGGGACAAAAAGCTAAAAATCGGGACGTCTGGTCACCCTAAATGAACTCAAATGGAGTTAATCTTTAAGTTAGATTCATACAGGAGAAGAAGGTAGTCAAGCAGTTTTTGAAAACCTTTATAACTTTCAATATTAAGTCCTTCTCTTAGATAGTTTTCACAAGGGTAAGAGAACTCAAACCATCGGTTCGAAAACACTAATCCTTCTGTGCTCTTGCCAGTAATCAAGCTGTCACACACACAGTTCCCAGACTGGGATGGAGTACAGTGTCATGATTCTGAGTGATCAGCCACGGCTAGGACTCTGATCCTGGTGGGACCGGCTTTGGCCATCTGCAAAAGATCTGAGAACCTGACTGTGCTAGTATGACGCTACTAGGATCAAGTATTTATCTCATCTGGATTTGGCCAGACTTGTGGAAAGGCATACAGGAACCTCCTTCCTCAGTGGATGGAAAAATAAGTATCTTTTGTTAATGTAGTGCCTTATCTTTTACTCAAGACACTGAGGAGTGGTTTCTCATTGGGGTGAATGGTGAAGGGAACAACATCTAGTGTCCCACTGTGATGAAAAATCTGATTCACTACTTCCTGATCCAGGGGACCACTTATGAGGCTGTAACATATCTACTAAGGAATTTCCTGGGTAACAGAGCCCTCTCCCTCATTGGAAGGGCTTCCAGAGAGACAACCTTATGCTGACTTGCTTGTTTATATAAAAGATAGTAGCCTGATTTGCCATTTGAATCAGGAACATCATGAGAGATATCAAATCTCTGAAGATCTTCATCGAATTCAGAATCTCCCTTGCTGGTCGAATACTGATGTGCAGTTGTTGCTCTTAGAGAGTTCAAGTTCCTGTATAGGGTCCCCATCCCTGGGTGAAAACATCAGAGGTCACTGCTATTTGGATAGGATGATTTTGGATTCAGATTCTATTTTCTAGTTGAAGACTGTTTCTGGAGTATCAGGTAGGCCTGGATGTCTGTAGTCCTCTGGATCTAATGTAAAATGGTGATGCTTGCTTTCACTGGACTCTCAGGATACACTAGAGATAGTCTTTTGTGCAGATATACCATAGGTTTTACAGCTACAGTTGTGGCCATGAAATTGTAGCATGGCCAAACTGTCACCTGGAATTCCTTGCATATCCTTTCTGCCAAACTGGCATTGTCTTGGATATTGTCCTTGGATAAGAAGGTTTTTTGTTGAGCTGTTGAGTGGTCTGCCTTTTAGGGTGACCAGACAGCAAGTGTGAAAAATCGGGACGGGGTGGGGGGGTAATAGGAGCTTATATAAGAAAAAGACCCAAAAATCGGGACTGTCCCTATAAAATCGAGACATCTGGTCACCCTACTGCCTTGCTGCCATAGGGATGAGGCAGTGGAGAAACAGCCTGAAAGAGAAACAGAGGGAAGTATCTTTGAAGCTGAACGAATTCCAAATCACTGCACAAAGACCAAAGTCTCAAGGAAATGAACTGAAACTTTGAAAACACCAAAGCACAGAGGTGCTTAAATGAAGCACTGAAGCACTCAATGCCAAATACAAAGACAGGGATTAGGGAATTGAGGTTCCCGGAGACCGCTCCTCTATCAGCACTTATTGGCAAGCAGCAGTTAAACAATTGTAGGATTACAAAAAAAAAAAAAAAAAAAAGAACTGGCTGTCAAAGGAAAGAAGCACAGAAACAATACCTGAAGCAGGATAGGCACTAAGGAAGCTCAAGAGTTGCGGCTGCAGTTAGATACAACTTTTGCAGAGAGCTCCTTCGAAGACTGCAGTCAAGAAAGGACTGGATACACCCAAAAGCTGAGGTTAAAGCTGAGGTCAATCAGCAGCGTGGAGGTTGCTCAAACTCCTACCTGCTATCCCTGCTATCACTGCCCTTTGGGACCAAACAAGCTTTTGGGAGGTTTTGCTGTCTCATGCTAGGGTGATGAGACTCCACAGCAAGAATCCTGAACAGATGGTATCTTTACAGAAGTCAGCATTTAATGTTTACTGCACAATATTTGCAACATCCACAGTGTGTTATGTGTTGTTCAAGCATATAGTGTGAAACCCACTGCCCCAATCTTAATCTAATTACCACCACTGTAGTAAATACTGATTTTTTTCAATAGCGACCACTGTAAAGTGATGGTAAATTCACCTGCCATGTTGTCAAGTATCAGGGGGTAGCCGTGTTAGTCTGTATCCACAAAAACAACAAGGATATTGATGCATCTGAAGAAGTGAGGTTTTTTTACCCATGAAAGCTTATGCCCAAATAAATCTGTTAGCCTTTAAGGTGCCACCTGCCATGTTGGAGATCAAATACTGGAGCAATCTCAGTGTGCTCTGCAAAAAAAGCTCCCCAGTCTGCAGGAAGGAAAGGGGAATCAACTCATAACTGCAGAGAATTTATACTCTTGGATAATTCAGGTTTTAAAATAGATTAAATATATTAAAAATGGCAAACCAGAATAAGAGCATGAATAAAAAAAATCCTCATAGACAGACTTTTCCGAAATATGTGTGCGCACACATGCATAATAAAAGCCTCACAGGTTTAATCAGTAACAGTAAAATAGTTCCAATAATGAATTTTTCCTTCTTTAGGAGCATGAATGACATTTTTCTAATGACAGTATTCCAAGTAATATTAATTTAGAACTGATGGACTTGGTGGAAAGGACAGACTATGGCCACAGATTCCCCACATTTCAAACTGCTCTTGGTTCTAGTCTATGTTGTACATTTGAAGGGATCTTAAATATTGTACATTTTTAGGAATCTTGTGAAAATTGTTCCATTCTTCCTCAAAAAGCACGTGCTACGGCAGGTTTTGTTTTTAGAAAGGAAAACAGCTTCATTTTTGTAGGGTTCAAATAACTTAAAAAAATCATACGCTGGCAGATTTTTCTGTAGAACCATTTCTGTGGGCACTGTGATTAACAAACTAGCTGCATAATGTGTTAGACAAAAAGCTGGAATTAACTATTATAAAGAAAACTAACAGGAAAGGCCCAATTTTGAAAGTGGCCTCAAAAAAACAGCAGTTCAAGGATGGCTATTCTTATTTACCACAGATGAGAGATACCAATAGTTTTTAAAATTCCTTATAAAAATGTACTAGAGTTTGAAAGACCTTTTCAATCATGAGAAGTTGAGATATATATTGGGATTAGTAGGATTTATCAACTATGGGAAAAAAAACACGGAAATACCTCCGAACACAATCCAGCATACAAATATAAAAACCAGTATCAAATCCATGATTACATATCTTACACTATCTTATCACATACACCCTATCATACACAGGGATGTTTCAAGAATGTCTATGCATTCAAGAATGTCTATGTCTAAGCAAACTATCTGTTAAAAAATGCAGGATAGAGGGACATAGACATTATCCTGGGCACAAAGCATATGAGCAATTCCTCAAAGAAACTGCCCACTAGATGACAGAAAGAAAATTAAAAATTGCATTAAGGCTAAGCTCTACTATAGGAAGCCTGGCATGGGAATTCAGGTTGCCATACCACAGCATATCACTGGGGGCTCTGAAGCTTCAGAGAAAGGGTAGAAAAACAAACCCAAAACCCTAGATGATCAAAAGATTAAATTAAAAATAAAAACTCAAGCAAATGGCTATATACATAATCTGATTTCACCAGCATACTTACGAAGGATGACGTGGGTGATAACGAATGCAAATATAAAGACTGTCAGAAAGGACAGAGATAAAATAAACATATAAAAAAATCTGTAGTTTCTTTTCCCCACACAGTTGCCTACCCAGGGACAATGGTGATCAAACCGTTCTGAAATGAGAGGTAGAAAAAAATGGAATATAATTAATAAAGTGCTACTTTACTTGAGAAAAGCCCTCTAAATAGTGTAGAACAAATCATGATTTAATTGGTATTTGCAAACTAGTCAGAGAACTTCTTAGAAACCCCCCCCCCGAGTATTTTAATGCAATGTTACTATTATTTAAGAAATTAATGCATGACAGAGATGGTCTTCTGTTAAATTACATAAATTTATGCTTTAACACAACTGGAGAAATAAGCATACACATTTCTACTATCACACATAGAGTACCAGTTTAATTATCTGGATTTGGTCTCCAATGTATTCTTTTTTACTCAGAACTGTAGTCCTCCTATCACTATAATTTTGTGCCACATTTCTAGATTATACATTTGAGATTTCCCTGTGTCCATTACCACTCCATCCATTAATTACGGTGCAGAAAATATTTCCCCTTCTTTTGTTATTCAGTTCATGATATCTTCCATCTCAGATCTGCTATTTTTCAGTTAGAACCAACACTTCTACACCAAACAACTTCCATGGCAAAACAACTGAAATACGGTTTGATGTAAAAGAGTTACACTTAAGGGTTTGCTTTTCTCAATTTTTTTTCTTAGTTTTTTTAGCTATCATGTTTTAAATCCTTTATTTTATGTTTTGAGAAATAATCCGGGGACATTTTGTGTGAAGGCATGATATAAAGTGGTAATTGTCTGAATGCCCACTTGCACTATCAGCTCAAAGTCCATTCTTTTTCTTTCCTTACTTAACCAAGTCCTTCTCTTCCGTCTCCCGAACTAACTTGCAAGGATAGTGGTAAGAGTCTGTGACAGTTCTGAAGAACGTTAGGGAAATGTGCTGCTGCTGTTTGTCAAGGCCAACAGGTTAAAACTGTGTAACTCTGAAAGCCATACATGTAGAATTAGATTTTCCTTGGGTACGGTGGAATTTCAGAGTTTTAATATTTTATTTAGTGATTATAAAAAGCAGATTGTCAGGAAAAATCATTTTGTAGCTTCGCTTTGGAGAGACTACACTGACATTTATGACAATACTTTAAATTATTGTATGCAGGGTTGTTGTACCTGTGCCAGTCCCAGGACATTAGAAAGACCAGGTGGATGAGGTAATATCTTTTATTGGACCAACTTCTGTTGGTGAAAGAGACAAGCTTTTGAGCTTACACAGAACTCTTCTTCAAGTATGGGAAACTTACTCAGGGCAGGTCTACACTACAAATTTTCATTGGCGCACCTGTGCCACTGTAGCGCGCCTGGTGAAGACACTATAAGCCGATGAGAGAGAGAGCTCTCCTGTTGGCTTAATAACTCCAACCATGAGAGGTGGTAGCTTTGTTGGCAGGAGAAGCTCTCCCACCGACACAGTGCTGTCTACTTGGGGGGTTGAGGTTAGTATAACTACATTGCTCAGGAGTGTGGATTTTTCCCACTCCTTAGCATTGTAGTTATACTGAAATAAGTATGTAGTGTAGACCAAGCCTAGACTGTTTGGAATAAGTAGTTAACACACATTCCAAGGAACTATTTGAGATGAAGTGGCCCATTAACACCCCTCCAGTCATAGGGGGAAAGGCAGCGTGTGTGGGGAGGGAGAAAAAGGAAGCTATGGGAATTATAGATTGTAGTAATAAGCCATAAATCCAATGTTTTTATTTAGTCCATGATTTTTAGTGTCTAGCAAAGCTATGAATTTAAGCTCCCAGGCTCATCTTTTGAAAATGTTGTGCAGGTTCCTTTTAGGATGAGGACTGATAAGTTAGATACAATGTGATCGCTTTGTGTTATCATAACACAGGTGATAGTGTTTTTGTCTTTTATCATTTTCCTGTGAGAGTTCATTCCAGGGCATTCCACTGATTTTCTAGTTTCACCCACATAGTTGTTATTGGGGCATTTAGTGCACTGGACATGGGCGGTGGGTAGAGGAGGCTGGCCAGGAATGGCCCTGCCCACACTCTGCCATGAGGGCCCTGCTTCGGCAGAGCCGCTGGGCTCCAGAGGCTGGGGCCACGCTGCCCACCTTCCCAGGGCTGAGGAGGCTGCAGCAGCGCCACCACACGCTCTCCGAGGCGGGGGGAGGCTGCAGTGTCGCCACCGTGCGCTCTCCCTCTTGGCACTCCAGGGCTGTTGTATGCTCTCCCTCCCGGTGCTCCAGGGCTGGGGTAGGGGGGCTGACTTTGGGCACTAGCCAGCTTGGGGCAGAGGCTGGTGGGCATGATGGGGGGACTCTAGGTTCCGGGGCGTATGGAAGGGGCGGGGCTGGAGACTAGCCTTCCCCAGCTAGAGGTTCATGAACCACCCGGGGCACTGGATGAGGTACACCACATGTTGTGATAGCCATGTGTAGGACCCATGGATCTTAAAAGGTGTGTTGTGGGGGGTGCTGATCATTGTAGCAGTAGAGATATGTCTGCAGGTTTTGCATCAGTTGTTCTGGCAGAGGCTGGTCCCGCTTTGAGTTAGTGTGTCCAAGTCTGTGGGGAACCTGTTTCTGATGATGAGCTTGGAGAGGCTGGGGGTTTGTTTGAAGACCAGAAGTGGGGGGTTCAGGAAAGATTTATTTCAGAATGGGGTCCCTATCAAGTATAGGTTGTAGCTGTTTGAGGATACCCTGTATGGGTTCTGTGTGGGGTGGCAGGTGACAACTAAGGGTGTGCATCAGAGTGGGATTTCTGTATTGAAGCAGGTTCTCTCCTTGTATTTAGGTGGCTCGTTCCATGATATGATCTACTTCTCTGGTGGAGTGCCCTTGTTTGGTGAAGGTGGTTTTGAACGTGTTAATGTGTATATAAGTATCGTGTAATTTCTCCTTGGAGTATATTCTGCGATATCTGAGTGCTTGGCTATGGATAACAGATTTCTTGTTGTGTTTGGAGTGATTACTGGATCTATGAAGGTAGGTGTGGTTACCTGTGGGTTTTCTGGACACAGTTGTCTGTAGGGTTCCATTGCTGAAGCTAGTTGATATGTCTAGGAATTTGATGCTAGTGTGGGAGTGTTCCAGAGAGAGTTTAATGGACAGGTGTAGTTGTTGTGGTGGTGGAAATCTACCAGGGTAGGTTTCCCTGCCTCTCCTCTTCTTTTCGCAAATGGGCTACTTCACTTTGAATGGTACCTTGAATATGCGTTAATTACTTATGCAAAACAATATTCCACCTTATATTTAGCTGTGACATTCTGAGTATGTTTCCCAGACCTGAAGAAGAGCTCTGTGTAAGCTTGGGAGTTTGGCTCCCTCTCCAACAGAAGTTGGTCCAATAAAAGATATTACCTCACCCACCTTGTCTCTCTAAAATTTTAAATTGTAATGGAGCCCAAGATTCAGAAAATAACACAGATGCTTTTATGCCTCCTTCCTTTCTCAGTCTAAGTCCTATCCAAAGCCTGTTTTGTTTTCCCCATCTTTTATGTCTCCATTGACGTATGCTAACTGACTATTTGTAGTCAGACAGGAAAGGCATGCTATAAATCTGAAAGTCCTCAAATTCTATGCAAAAAAAAAAAGCACATCTGTCCAAACACACCAGTTTGTTTTTATTGTGTCTTTTTGTTTAAGACCTACAGGAGAGTATTTTCTTGAAGAATGTATTTAGGATTATCTTGATTTAAAAAATTAAACACATGCACCACAGACTTCTGAGTTTACTATATTTATTAGCTTTTTCAAGGTTTTGTGTGACAGTTGTTTGGGCCACATATTTCTGCTATAAATCTATTTAAAATTCCTGAGTGGCTATTGAGGGTAAAGTTACTGAACCTTCTTGGGAATGAGAAAAATTCAGAATTAGCATCTTCAGTTTTATCAAGCTACTGATAAATATTTCAGGAGCTTAAAATGTTAGGTGCTATTAACTTCTTTGCTGTAGTGGAACACACAGTGGGTTCCTGAAGTGATTAGAAATTCCATTAGAATACTGGTGTTTCAAAGTGATGGGCATTGTGCATGGGTAAGTACTTTATAGTGCACTTTGCCTCACATAACTGGTACATAATGCAATGCTTGAGCAGTTAATAGAGAAAAATATAATTGTAAAATATGGCATGGAAATTATCACAATTCAGGGTGCAATCCAGACCAGTGAGCTGTTGTGTCACCATCTGCCCTGCAACCTTGGGTGCCTCACAATGCTTTGCCGCTTTAGCTCCCAAACTTGGCTGCTCTGGCTTTATCGTGGCTTTGATGGTGCTCATATTTACGCCTGGCTATTTCTATTTCCCTTACCTGAAATAAACAAACAGAAAATAACGAATGGTAACCTCTCTTTTGACCACCATACTTGAGACTCACTTAAAACTGTTACACCAGTGCTTAGAGTGTAAACAGCATGCTATGTATAAATCCTGTTTTGACTATGCCACTATCACCTTCTATGGTGCAATCCAGACTAGTGAGAGGTTGTGGCACTAACTGCCCTGCAACCTTGGGTGCCTCACAATGTTTTGCTGCTGTAGTTCACAACCTGGGCCCCTATCAAACAGCTAAACAGCATGCAGGTCACACTATAAATGTCTGTGTATAGCTGCAACCTGCCAGCAACACTCCAGTCAACAGTCTGGCTTTCACCAGCCTTGATTACCACTTGCAGGGTGACCCTGACACACTGCCAGTCCTGGATTTTCCCCAAAAACATGTATTCTGAACTGTCCAGCCCTCTCCTGGACAGTTCAGATATTAGAGGTCTGTTGCCCCTCTAAGGGATCAATATCCAACAGTTTGCTACTTTAGAGTTACCAAAAAATTTCAGTTTAAAACACAACACTGGATTAGGATTCATTAAAGAATAAGACACAATTAACTACAGAGACGCAGACTTAAAGTGAGTAGAAGACATTAAAGTCAGAAATGGTTACAAGAGAAATAAAGATAATACGCTGTTTAGTGCTAAAACTTAAACTATTTGGTTCAAGGTAAAATCCTTGTCCAAACTCTCAAGTTGGCATCTGCCCTCAAAGTCCAAAGGGCTGGTTTCTTTGTCCATCTTAGG